AGAGCGCTCGTGTCAACTTATATATATAGCGTGGAGTGTACTATCTCTTTGAAAGAGATCGTACACTCCTCGCTGTATATGCAACACAGTGTGTCACAATCATAAGAACTCCTTTGTTTTTGATTTTTCATCAAAAGCTGGAACCAATCTGAATACTGTTTTGAATAGCCCGAAGATTTTTCTATCAGATGAGTTGCATATCGCCATTTTATGAGGAAACTTGATAGGCGGGTTTCTGGAAAATCTGAAGGCTAGAAAAGCAAGTCTTTGGTTTTAGATCAGAAAATTTTCAAACCATATAGCCTGATAGAGCGCAGAATTCTGAGGAAAGAAAGATATTTCCCGGCTGTCCGTAATGCTTTTTCATGTAACTGCAGTCGATTCCGTTTCGGTCTTGCTGTAATGTATGGGGTAAGAGATATAATGTATGGGGTAAGAGATATACGTAATATTTGTATGTCATTATATGGGCGACATCAAGTTCTACCTATCCTGAAAAAGTCGTGGTTTCATCTCTTCTTGTGCACTAGAAAAACGAAATGTACGTTTTTCACGAGCATAACTTCTCGAGCTTTACTCCAGTCGAAAAAATTCCATATCTACAGAATAAAAAGTTCGGGAAGCCTACAAATTTGCATCTATAGGTTTTCGACCATGCTCTACAATATGAGGCTACTTAGAAAAAAATCTGAAATAGTCATTGACCTTGGCTTGTCGTGGCTTATGTGCGATGGCTCCTAAGTTGAAAGTCTATATTCTTCTAATTAAGTTCAATTGTGTTTCAGTTTTTGGCAAATGTGTGCTTGTGTGTTTCTAAGCAACGTTTTTAGACGATGGCGATTATTATGCGTTTAACAGAAACTTTTGAAAATTATGTACTTAATCGTTTCTTCACCGTCATTAAAATCGGATGTATTATCAAGAGATATTTTGACTAATATTTGACTTAACTGCTCATCATCAGATTGAAAATTTAGAAAAAAAGAAAAACATATCCCGCGAACCGGAGTCGAACCAGTGACCTAAGGATTACATTTGCTAGTTGCATCTACAGTCCTCCGCTCTACCAACTGAGCTATCGCGGGTATTCTTCTGGTGTGTTCAACTAGACTATTTTTAGGGTAGAGACTGATGCTCGACAATCACAGAGCCCTGCCAGCCTCTCGAAGACAGAGATTGTAGTGTGATCACTAAGAAGTCTCTTTCTTGCAAATGATACTGCCTTTCCCTTAAGAAACGTCAGAAAGCTTTCGATAAAACATCAAGAAGTCCAAATCTTGGATGTGTCGTGAAATTTCGAGAGTCGGAAAATGTAAATAACCTAATGAATGATGGAGAGAGGACGCCACTGAGCGAATAAAAATGGTCGTGCATGGCATTGTTATATTGTCCGACGCTTAAAACTATTTTGAATGGCTAATAACTCAACAGATATTTTTTGAGACTTATTTTAGCTCACGAAAATCTGCCCCAAGCACAACGCCTAATCCCATAGCAACGGTAGTCGTTGGCTGTAAAATCATGTCGCGACAACAAGAATTTTTTAGCGATCACGGCACGAGTTGCGTGGTTTTAACGCGATCGTGGAGCCAGGACCGCGTTCGCGACGTGACAGAAGCAAGAAAGTGGAATTGGGGAGGTTATCCAGCTAAACTTGTCTTACACTTTTATTCGGTTAGGAGGGCCTGTGAAATGTTAAAGTAGGCTGACTGAGAAATGTGACACTTTTTTCTTCTGACTGATTTTTGGCTTTGCTCTCTAACTGCTTACACGGTGCTCGTCTGCGTTTTGTCCTTCTTGAGTGTTTTGTGAATGTTTGAACGTTTTCTTTTCTCAGAGTTTTTTTAATTTTTTGTCATGCCGTTCAAATAGAGTACACCAACGGTAGAGGAATATATGTCTTTATCTTTGTTCATGATACTATGGTTTGTTATAAGATTTCTTACTTTACGATTGATAGTATTTGTGATAGAGATAGGGTACCTACTATTTAACAATAATAACAAATAACTGTGATGTCCGAGTTATCAATCTCTTTTTTATTTATCATCATTATTTTGCCGAGTACCACTACTGATGTTCTGCTTAATTGTTTTGTTATGATCTTGTGTAAAATCAAGCAGTAGCTTCGCTACGGTTGATTGTCAGTACCAAGTTGTGCGAAATGTCTAAGGCTTTCTGTTCATGTTAACTGATATATCTAAAAAACAATGGTGACTTTGGCTCTTCCCCGAAATCTGATGCGAAGGTAAAATTTTTATTTAGTTTATTCAAATATATTACCAACTCGTCATTTTGATCGTTATTTATTTCTGAAATCAAATTTATGTTGCCTACCTCCAATGTGAAACCAAAGTACAAAACATAAAACTAAAGATAATTTAAATGAAAGAATAGTTGGCTTAATAACACGGAAAGTAACAAAGAGGAAAGAGAAGTTTTGAGTTTAAGACTTAGTTTTATTACAAACATATTCATTGAATATGGTGCACCATGTAATTTTCAGTGTTGAATCTTCATGATACGAAACTAACATAGTAGAAAAGCAAAAGTGGAGGACAAAAACTGGGTAAACAAATACGTTTGCAAAAATGACAAGTCGTTATTGTTAATTTGAAATCGTTTGCAATTGTTGTTCATTTGGTTGTGATGATGTTGATAATTTTGGCTTCGGTATCTTATTTAATGAATCTTTGAGTTATTTGCAGTATTTGTTCGTTAATGTTTGATCTTGATCATCATACGTATTCATTAATTCGTATAGTTTTAATAGATATTTTATAATATCATATAATTGTTCTATATCAAAATTATCAATTAAATATTGTTTTACAATTAATGCTTTATCACGATGTAAACATGATAGTAGAAGACAAAAAGCTATTTTATATGGTGGATATAATAAGGATACATCGGTTTTTAAACTATCATTTATTATACGCCATGTTAATTCAAATGTAGGTGTATCGATTTGCATTTCTTTTATATAAGTATTTAAAGAACGATAGGGATGATATATAATTAAACAACAATCCATTATTTCTAATAAATAAAATTCACATTCCAATATTTGTTTCATTGTATAGGGATATTCCGACTTTTGATTATCTAAATAAATACATATATAATTTACAATAAATAACTGACACGGTTAAAGATGAACAAAGATTGAAAACTGTAAAAGTAGAAGAACCAATGGACGCTAAATTCTGTTTTTTCTCCAGTTATAAAATTTTATGATGTTCAAATATAGTGGAATATAAAAAATTTCCGAATTGTTAGTTGAAGATGCAGAGAGCTGTTACAGGAGCTCTAAGATTGCTCGAAATCACAAATATACAGTGTAATTTCCACAAAAGAAAAGAGGGTTTTGTTGAAAAGGAAGAATATTCATAAATTTTATCACAACCTAACGAAATTTCTGAAATTGTATTTGACTTTCTTTTAGACAAAGCGTCTTCTTCGAACTGTACAATTCCAACAGAAACATCTTAGATTCAACCATTAAATCCATAAAATCAATTATTTCGGGATCGGAACAGAATGAGCGTCCAATTCATACAAATAAAAAATAAACTATGCTGTGTACAGCAACACATTCGAGTACTTCCGTCTTGCTCAAGTGTTCGGGAAACCTCGAGCATTCTGTAATTCGAATATAGACTCGAATTGTCATAAACCCTTTCCCATAATCGAGGGCCACTTGATCTTCTATTTTGTCCGGCAAGTCGAAATCTAAAGGGTGGTCTTCTATTGTGGTCAAATTTTGTCGCCTGCTAGTAGTTCAACAGTAGAAGACAATGGTCTTCCAATTGGCTTTCAGATCATATAATCGACAGTGGTCCTCTGACGACGGATAGTCTTCCGTTATGGGAGGAGGTTCAGGCAGGGCTGGGTAACTCCAACTCCGGGGTTTAGGATTCTTTTGGTGGAGCTGGAGTTGGAGTTGACATTTTAGGAGCTTGGAGTTGGGTTTTTGAATTTTTATTCTTAAGTCAGTTTTGCATTTTTGGAAACGTTCAATGGCTGTAAAACTGATCTTCTAAACGATTGAGTGGCTGTATTCAAGAGTGAATTCGGAAATTCTTTCCGCTTTCCGATCGGAAAAAGCTCAAAAATCCAAAATCTTGCTAGAAACCGAAAAATCTTTCTTACAAAGGTGAAGCAACCGGAGTTGAATTGGAGTTGAGATTTTTGTTGACGGAGTTGGAGTTAGAGTTGAAAAATTTTGAGCGGAGTTGGCGTTGAATCGGAAATTTGAAAACGGAGTTGCAGTTGACAGTCAGCGGAGTTGCCCAGCCCTGAATTTAAGCGGCATTTAAATGCTCAAATATTGCTTGAGAATTTCTTAATGCATTTAATAAAGGGGTGGACACATTAGAACACCCGCAGAACACCGTAACAGAAGATTTATTGCTGTGCACAGAAGAGAAAGTCCGAAGAGAGACACCACAAGATGATTGCAATATGGCGCTGTTTTCGTTACATATCACGCCAAATAGACTACAAGAGAACAGACAGACAGACAGACACATACACCTGTATTAATCACATTTTGTTTCGTTCAGAGAAAGAAAATATTACTGCGCTTCACCTACAGAGATGCATTGAAAGAAGTGCAAAAAAGTAAAATAACTGCGCAAAAATTCTCAAAAGATCAATCTTTGTTAACGGGGGTCTTCTAACATGTCCATCCCTTTAGTATAAAATAGTAATAGATTCACGCGGATTAATTAACTTTAAAAGATATTTCTAACGCATTTACATGCATTAAATTTTATATACTGAAAGTAAACGACAAACGTTCGCATCTATTAAGGAATCATTAATGCGTTAAGACGAATTAAAATGGATAGTTTAATGTGTTAGCACAGCGGGAAAACGCGTTTTAGTCTCATTAAATTATTTTAACGCACTTAATGCGTTAAAATGACATTAATGAAAATGATTTTTAACGCGTTTTGATGCTTTTTGACTTTTTAACATCTTATAAACTCCACGCTATCCAACGTGTTAAGGATTTTAATATATTCAAACGTATTAAATTATTTAATTCATGAGAACACATACAATTTTAATGCAGTTGACTGTGTTCATAGATGACTATATCAAGAGAAGGTATCAGTTTTTGGAAAAGTTTCTCGGTGCTCTGCAGATCGAGCAGAAGAAATCATCCTAGAACTAACTTTTTGAGAGGAATCCGATGGCATTGTCAGAAAAAACTAACACTTCCATATAGAGTGCTAGCATCATTTTTGTTTCTAGCGTCTAGCGATTCCTAGTGAGCGTCTAGAATGTACAGTGTAGGTATCTAAAATACATACTGAGAAGTGGCCATATAGCTTTACACACTCAGACCATCGATACAGGCTGATTGTGTAAAGTGTCTGTGCTGAAAATGCTTCAGATTCATTTATCTGTTGTTCGAATCTCGCATATAGCGATGATTTTTTTCACTTTTTTAGTTATCCGTTTTGCCTCAGAATGACAGTATATATACTTTTGAAGGCGATGATCCCAATTTTCTTTTTTCATTTAGTGCAGTAACCAGAGGCGAGGCAGAAAAGAGTAAGTAAAGAAATCTAGCTTATCAAATAACACAAGCACTTCCTTAATCGTAGATTTTTTTTGTCAAATAGCTAGCGGCGCCAAGCAATGCCCACTTACTAGATGCAAGCGGACGATCCGGTGGGCGCTTAAATTGAGCGATTAGCGCCGAATTTAAATGCATCAGCTAGCTTCAACTCACTTAAGCTAACTTTTACAGGTTAAAAAATTGGGTCAGGTAGCTACAAGCGCCCATTTCATTTCACGATTTTTTTCTACTTGGGAGAGAAAAATGGAAAATACTCAAAATTTTTAACACATTTAGCATTTAACATACTGAGACCGCTCGTTTGGATAAAGTACACACTTTTCGATGTCGAGCGAAAATTTAGACCATTTTGCACACCTAGTAATACACTTTTTTTACAGTGCCATATAGAAAGTCTTGTTGACCTGATTTTTTACTGTTTTCATTGCGCTCTAAATCGCTAGTATGAGCTTAGGTGTGAAATGCATTCGCAATTTTTGTCTGCAAATCTCCTCAAACTCCTCAGGTCCACTGTCTTATCGCATGTCGAGTCTTTTTAAAAATTCGCGCCAGGATCGCGTAACGCGTTCGCTGTAAGACTCGCGAAATAAGACGCGATTTTTTCGCGCTCATACAAAAATCCATGACTCGCAAGTATTTTACTAGAGCTACTATATATTCGCGTTTTCCGTTTTACATCAGTAAATGGGCCGCGCTACTTTTGGCGCAGACTTACACGAATGGGGTACGCGCGACGCAACTACGCGAGACTGCATTAATCATGTCGTCTATTATTATGATGTGATAAGATTTTGAAAATTTTTCGAAAACTCAGTGAGAGTTATATACCAGGCATAAGCAAAACAAAACGGTGAATAGGATTTGCGCGGGAGTCACGACCATGCATCATATCGCGATTGTAATGTGATCACGATGTGATACTTTTTTCTTATAGCGATCGCGCTCGGATTGTAAAGTCGCGCCGCGATCGCTAAAAAGTCGCTAGTTGCGAATTACAAATTTTCGAAAAGTAAGACTTTATCACGGTCGTGCCGAGACTTCTTAGCGGTCGCGGCACGAGTTGCGCGGCGTGTTTGTAGAGGGTGAGGGTGGTGAGGGTGAGTTAGGAAAAAACTTCATTATTTTTACTTCCTTAACAAATATACATATTTTTTATATGCGAAACTTGCACCATCCATAATTCTGCTATCTGTTAATAAACTAAATTCTTCAACTTTTGATGCAAGAAATACACATGTTGTTGCTAATAATAATGGATCTATTGATTTTAATGAATAACGTACATAAAACCGTCTAAAATAGGCAAGTGATGTGGCTATAACCTATTGTCGTACTTTGGCTTGTTCACCAATACATTGTATAAAATTAGAATAAAATAACATTATTTTCAAATAATCATCTTCTGATATATTATCGTATAATTGTAAATCATTTAAACGTACAGACATTAATTATTGACGATTAAATAACCATTGTTCAAACTGAGAACTTTTCCAATAATTAGATGCCATCTAGAACAGAGTAAAGAAAAAAAAAGAACAGAATATATTCAAGATACATACAATAGAAATAGACATAGTTAATTTTATTTTTTCAAAAAAGATAAGACAAAGTCAGTAATAGAATAATAAGACACAAATATGTTAATTAATGATAATAATGTAGTATTCACTCAAAGATAAAAAAATATATATAATCACAAAAGTAAACACAACTAGACATTTTTTGACAAATAAAATTCTGTTGCACTTAATTGAGATTAAACAGTATTAAATCAGAAACTAGTGAACAAGATAACGAAAGAACAATTGTATGTGTTTGTATGGAAGTATAATTTCGATACTATCTGCAGTAGTCGTCAAGAAATGTTGTTAATATATTCAAGGACTATTCTTTACTATGAGGAACTTTAGGAAGTGATGAAGTTAGTAGCTGTATAGCTCAAAACATCTGCTATCATTATTAGTTAGTTCGTACATTACTAAGAGAAAGGAGAACAAACAAAACCTATTTCTGAGACAAAGCGGACTAAAATGCCCTCTATTCAGCACAGTTCAGAATAGTAAAAATCTATTTGTGACACATTCACTCAATTATAGTACAAAAATGATGTTCGAAAAAACAAAACAAAAAATTATATCTGTTACTGAATACCAATGCTCTGTTATCATAACACTATAGAGATTGGTGGGATAAAGCGGTTCTACCACTTTGCTACTAAAAAAGGAATCAAAATTAACGCCTTAAAAAATTGTTTATCTTTCGGGAAAGTTCATATCCTGTGTGGGTCCTTGATTCTGTCCGATTCAGGATCATTCACTGCTAGAAATTAATAATATGGACTTTTTAAATATGATCTCAGAAAAGTTTTTTTTACGCTTAAAAATCAGACATGTCATTGGTTGACGGTATGGCTTAGTGGTTATATTGTTTGTCACATACTTCAAAGTCCACAATAATTACGTGGAGCTTCACAATAATTGAACGAAAAGAGGACAGACTAGCTTTTTGTTCAGAGCTGCAGCTGATGACTAAGAACGAGATGGATGACCATGCCAGGCTCCGGCAAGATATCGAACTATCGAAACTACCAAGCAGCTACCAATTACTCAGGTAACAGTAATGGAAACCGATGTGTCGCACTATCGGGAGATTAACTACTCATTAGTAGTGCAAGAAGACAGAATTTTCTTCCTTCCTTCCATTAGTTGACTTGGCGGTGTGGTTTTAATGAATCTTTGATGACCTAACTTAGTCGAAAAAAAGCACAAAAAATCATATTTTTTCATGGAAATAAATTACCGATACCAATTTCTCTAAAGTTTATCTTCGCCAGCAAATACAGTACAAAAACGTTCTTGCTCTTGATTTCGGTCTCGGTAATCTCCAAGTCTACCTAGCCTCCACTAACGACCGCACGTTTTTTTCGATGAATCCTCATAAATCATCTAACAATTGTTTGAATTCAAATAATTTTTGATAGTCCTGTCGGTCATTTATTACCTGTATGTTTAAAATTAGAATTTCATAATCTTCAGTTAATCGTGTCGATATTTTTGTTGTAAATGTTCATCTTAAATCTCATTTATTGATATTCAAGAAATAGATTTCATACTTTGCATCTGATTTAAAACATCCTGTCTTTCGTAAACATTTTTTTCGTTATCCATTTTTGCAGTGTTGGAAGATTTTCGCCACCATGTAAAAATTATATTTGTTCCAACGGTATATATGTACACTTTTGTTCATAAATTAATTTTATCCAATTTTCAACTAGTTTTATTTGGTATAATTTTGATTTTGCACGGTGATTATTTGTATCATTATTAACTAAATACCCTCCTGATATTGTAGCATAAACTTGAATTATTAATACCAAACAATCTTGGTAGATTATATATAGTTTCAATGAGCGACAAAGGATTCCATTTATCTTTGCTCTCCAACTAATTATGATCATTTTAAGTGATATGATTTCGAATCACATTGATGTTTAAATATAATATACTGGTTTACTGAAAAGCATGTAAGTTTACCATAAAATCGTTCATCTGAGACATAAAGGTAAAAGAAGCATTTATTCCAAAAGAAAAAGTCAAAAATCTATGTATAGATACGATAGATATACGAAATGAGGTATTGAAGTTTTAATTTAGTTGCACATGTTTTCTTAATGTTTTTTATCAGCGAGAGCAAGCGACGTCTACCCTGGCGAATAAACCATTGTATATTGTAGTTTCAAGCGGTCGTATTTGCACTACGGAATGCACCATAGTCGACTGTGAATTCTCAAATGTGAAACTAGTCAAAACAAAGGACTTTCACGAATGCTAAATAATAGAAGTAGAATATTCGAATTGTGAGATTTTTAAGAATGAACTAATTCACGCATCACTACACACTGTGCAACAATAAATAGAGTAACAACACTGCTATCGTGAGTGCTTGTGCAAAAAATACTTGGATTAAGTAATAAAGACAGTGGTTGTAGACTTTTTAAATAACTTTACTT